TTGTTCCTTGTTTTGATTGACTGATCTGAATTGACAATCTATTAGGCATTAGCATCTCCTCTTTGAACTCTTTTGGTCCAATAGTTTCTATTCTTGTCCTTAGGCTACGTTTCTAGTTGATGATATTCATGAAGGATTGATTCCCTTGTTCTGTTTTGGATTTTCCAGAGATTGTATGACAAATGCTATAATCTTAATGGCTTATTGGGGGCCTGGAGGGAAGGATCAGATAATATCGAGACGTTTAACCAAGAAAATCATCCCGATTTGAATGATCAGTTATCTGTAATTTCCCCGATCGGACTTGTCATCTTATTTTTTTCTCTTTTTATCTTTTTTTTTTTCCGTTTTCGGGGCTATTTTTAGTGTGTGTTCTTAATGACACGGACTTTCAGATCCCTCATTCTGATATTATATGATTATAACTGTGAATCTGATAGTTCATACTCGTTCGCTGTGGTCTCGATTAATCAAATTCCTAATGGTTTTTGGCTTTCTTATCTATACTTTATGTAAACTGGACTTGCTTTTGAAGTGGTTGGATGTCTCGGATGACAAGAGACCGTTTTTATCCTCTAAATTATACTCGAATCGATCATCTCATGTGACAATTTTTGGTCTAAAAACATATGCTAGCCAATACAATGTTCTAATCTCTAGCAAGTTGCAATTCAAACTAACATTTTGCATAGAATTGCTTGTGTCAAGTTGAATATAGATGATGAGAAAAGGGTGATCTTCAAAGACTAAGATAAAAATTTGATTCGAGTACTCAAGACATTTTAACTTCATTTAGATATACAATTTTAAAAATTTGATTCGAGTACTCGAGACATTTTAACTTCATTTAGATATACAATTTAAAAGAATTTGAAAGAATGTAATTAAAAATTTAAGAGGATAAAATTGTATGATTTTACCCATTTTGTTAGGTAAAATATAATAACATTTTCATAAACTTAAATAATATATAAATTTCTAACATGTGTTTAATAAATTCTTAATTTGTAATATTTTTTAAATTTTTTTTAATTATCCATCGGATAAAATATTAAAAATTCAAAAAATAATTAAATACATTAGAAGTTAAATGCACAAAGTGAAATTTAGACAGAGAATTGGCCAGCCATGATAATTATTATATATTTAAGTTAAACAATTAAATATTCCAAAAATCAAATCGTCAACTTCGTGGATTATCCAACGAACCATGCTTAAATTATTAGAATTCGGATAAATATTTTTCAGCTCAATATTATTTGGATTAAAAAGTTTCAAACTTTGATCAATGAATCAAAGTAGAAATTAGTATTTACCCTAAAATTTCTTTTACAATTCGTGTTTGCAGAGAAAAGAAAACGGGAGGGAACAGAAACGAAGCAGAAGGGCGTGGTGGTAGAGATGGGTTACATCCTGCGAGTGAGATTGGCTTCCTTCTTCGCCGGAGCAGCGGTTGCATCGTCTCTGGGGTTTTACGTTCTTCAAAGAGATTACAAGATTGCTTACGACTCCATTTCGCAAAAGGTATTTGGATTTTCATATTTATGTCTATGTTGCGAGTTTCGTGAATTACTTTTCTTGCATTCGATTTGGGAGCTTCATTTGTAGTTCTTTTTTTTTCCTGATTGAATTTATTTGAGATTTAGTTTTCGTTTTGGATAATCGAGCTAGCTTTGAAATAGCAGAGGCGGAAATACAGATTTGTATTCGATGCTTGTTTAATGGCTCGTCTCTGTGCGATAGATTAATGGAGAAAAAGGAAAATTAGGGGTTTCGTTGTCGGTGGATAAAATTAATTTGATGTGAACTGATCGCTACAGCGGTATTCGTCGATTTTGGGCGACTTTTTGCTAGATTGTTGCTGAAATTTCCTTTCCTGGCTCAATAAGAAAAAAAAAAAAAAAATTACAGAAGAGGAAGATGAAGAAGAGCTTGCCGTAATGGAAACTATGCATTTCAACAAAATTAATTTACTTGATTGGCTGTGTAGACTTGATGATCGTATTGACATGTGTGTGAAACAGAACCACCATTGTGTTGCTTATGGGAGTTTGTGCAATTTTGTAGAGTATTTAGACAGATGAACATAGTGTTAGGAATCACGACTCTCCACAATGGTATGATATTGTCCTCTTTGAGCATAAGCTCTCATGGCTTTGTTTTGGGCTTCCCCAAAAGGCCTCGTACCAATGAAGATAGTATTTCTCACTTATAAACCCATGATCTTCCACTAAATTAACCAACGTGAGACTCACTCCCAATAATCCTCAACACATAGAGCTTTAATGTTGTTTGAGGTCTAAGGAAGACGTGTGCAGCCTTGGTTGATTCCATGTCTCTCTTATGGCTTCGGTCATTAAAACTTATTGTAATTATCCTTTAGGTCTCATTTTGCTTGATTGATGCCCACATTTATTACACACTTTAAATTTCAAAAACCTATTAGACATGAAATTGAAAGTTTATAGACCTACTCGATACGATATAACTATGAAAATTTATAGATTAAACTTGTGATTTGGCCATGATTTTTTCTCTTTTGAATAGATAAGGCACATTGATTTAGCGGTGTGTTCATGGACTCGAGACCTCTTTAAGGCCTCCTATTTGAGAAACTAAATATCTCATGAATTTCTTGATTGTCAAGTTTATAGATTAAACTTGTGCATTTTTTAAAGTTTCTTTCTCTCTTGTTTGGTTGCTTTTCCTGATGTTCATACTTCCTTAAATATTGTTTGCAAAATCTTATTTGAAATTTCTTAAAGATGATCAAGGAGTGTATTCATATTTGATTCTCATCTTCAGATTAATGGAATTGCCGTTGATGTTTTGAAATGCAAGATTCAGTTAAGTTTACCAGTCAAATTTCTGCTCGATGAAGTCGAACTAACTATATGATATATAGCTGAATCAAACGATTTAGAGCATGACAGTTTCTTTTCATTGAAAATCAAGCACGCAAATGAAATTAAATCTCTGTTGAGGATTATTGGGAGTGAGTCCCACCTTCGTTAATTTAGTGTAAGATCATGAGTTTATAAGTCAGGAATACTATCTTTATTGTTTGAGGCCTTTTGGGGAACCCCAAAGCAAAGCCATGAGAGCTTATGCTCGAAGTGGACAATATCATACCATTGTGGAGATTCGTGATTCCTAACAAAATTCATGTCTACTCTCTATAGTGATGAACCCTTGGAGTCTGAAGGAAGTTGATACGTTTTTGAAACATGCGTTCATAAGTCAGCTCACCTGCTCGTTTATAACGATGCATCATTGCCATTTTTCTGTCCATAGTTTCTTCCGTGTCGAAATCCCAAACTAGTTAAGATCTTTGTTCCATGTTTCTATCGCCTATCGGATTATCTGTTGAGAGGGAGGGACGAAAGCGGGGGGGGGGGGGGG